ACTTACGTTCAGGGAGTTCAGGGCATGCGGGGCTCCAGACTATCATGGGGCGCGGGACCCCATAGCGAGTACTAGATGGTTGGCGGATGTGGCCAACGCTTTCCGCACTAGCAGGTGTCCGAGGGGGACAAGGTCAGATTGGCGTCCTGTCTTCTGAAGGACAGGGCACGGGATTGGTGGGAGGAGGTCGGACATGCCATCGGGGATGATGCGGCATTGGATGCCATGACCTGGGCTGATTTCTCTACCAGGTTCAGGGCGGAGTTTGCACCAGTCATTGAGGTGCAGCAGTTAGCTAGGGAGTTTCAGGACCTTACCCAGACTACAGAGACAGTGGCGGAGATCACCGCCAAGTTCAGGGAGAGGGCCCTTCTTGTTCCTCAGTATGCAGCCGATGAGGAGATGAAGAAGGCCCGTTATCATGAGATGTTGCGGAGTGACATCCGCATGTTTGTGAGCCGGTCCAGTTGTAAAACGCTGGACGACATGATTGCCAGAGCTAGAGAGAGGGAGATTGATCTCGAGATGGAGAAGAAGAGGAAACCGGAGGCGGTTTCGGGTTCAGGCAGTGTGGGCAAAAAGCCCAAGGTTTCAGATCACAGGTCTAGGAGTCAGCAGAGCCACGGTCGGTGTGGCAAGTGTGGGAGATTGCACGAGGGGGCGTGCAAGGCAGGGAGTTCCGGCTGCTACAAGTGCGGTCGGACTGGGCATTTGAGTAGGGATTGTACGGCCCCTGCTACTACGGTTACAGCATCAGATCTGATTTGCTTTCAGTGCAATCAGAGGGGACATAAAAGGTCCCAGTGTCCCAGTTTAGCTGCAGCAGGGAAGGTGGTTGCACCTGCCCCTGCCACCTTGAGGATTACGGATGGCCGGCAGGGCCGAGCTGATGCGCCAGTGGCGAAGAGCAGGGCATTTCAGATGACAGCAGAGGAGGCGCGAGCGACTCCTGATGTGGTGACGGGTATGAATCTTTCCTTCATCTTTAATTGTTATTATATCGGTTGAGTATTACTTATGTGGGTATGTTTATTTAGGGTCGTTCTCTGTGAACGGCATTTCTGCTTTGGTATTGTTCGATTCGGGGGCTACCCGATCATTTGTATCGCTTGCGCTTAGCAAGAGATTTAGCAGAGCTCCAGGGAGCTGGATTGTCCACTAGAGGTTGAGATAGCAGATGATAGGACCGTGAGGGTCGGCAGAGTACATAGAGGGTGTTCCCTTCAGATATTTGATGAGCAGTTTTCAGTGGACCTGGTTCCTATTCCCCTGCGTGGGAATAAAGTTATTGTGGGCATGGATTGGCTGAGCCCCAATGGGGCGGTGATTGATTGTGAGCTTCAGCTAGTGAGGGTTCGCACTCCCAGTGGGGGAGAGATAGTGATTCAGGGCGAGAGGCCCCAGCGAGGACCGATCTTTTGTTCCGCCGCAAGGGCGAGGCGCTATGTTCAGCAGGGTTGCGCCGGTTTTGTAGCTTACGTCTTGGATGCCCGGGAGAAGGGCAAGACGACGATTGATGATGTTCCTATTGTTCGTGACTACCCGGATGTGTTTCCCGAGGATTTGCCGGGGATACCTCCAGAGAGGCAGGTTGAGTTCAGGATCGACCTAGTTCCTGGTGCGGCTCCGATAGCCAAAGCACCGTATCGACTTGCTCCCCCTGAGATGCAGGAGTTGTCTACACAGCTTCAGGAGCTGTTAGACAAGGGTTTCATTCGGCCGAGCAGTTCGCCTTGGGGAGCGCCGATCTTATTTGTGAGGAAGAAGGATGGGTCGCATCGTATGTGCATTGATTATCGGGAGTTGAACAAAGTAACGGTGAAGAACCGTTACCCACTTCCGAGGATAGATGACTTGTTTGATCAGCTTCAGGGAGCGTCTTGGTTCTCCAAGATCGATCTACGCTCCGGTTATCATCAGATGAGGGTTAGAGATGAGGATGTACAGAAGACTGCTTTCAGGACCCGGTATGGTCATTATGAGTTCGTGGTGATGCCATTTGGGCTCACCAATGCCCCAGCCGCGTTCATGGATCTCATGAACCGCGTGTGCAGACCGATGCTGGATAGTGTTTATAGATGACATCTTGGTGTATTCCAAGACACAGGGGCAGCACGAGGAGCACATGCGGGAGGTGTTGGAGACTTTGAGGAGGGAGAGACTTTTCGCAAAGTTCTCCAAGTGTGAGTTCTGGTTGCGCGAGGTGCAGTTTCTTGGTCATCTCGTCAACCAGAAGGGTATTTTGGTAGATCCGGCCAAGATTGAGGCCGTGATGCAGTGGGAGGTCCCGAGGTCTCCATCTGAGATTCGGAGCTTCCTGGGGTTGGCAGGGTATTATCGGAGATTTATTCAGAACTTCTCCAAGATAGCAGTGCCGCTCACCCGGCTAACCAAGAAGTCGGTGGTTTTTCGTTGGGGGCCTGAGCAGCAGGCGGCGTTCGAGACTCTCAGGCAGAGATTGTGCGAGGCTCCGATCCTTACCTTGCCAGAAGGAGTAGAGGATTTCGTAGTCTATTGTGATGCATCGATCACAGGTATGGGAGCAGTATTGATGCAGCGAGGCCATGTGGTAGCTTATGCCTCGAGACAGTTGAAGCCTCACGAGGCTAATTATCCTACCCACGATTTGGAGCTGGGGGCAGTTGTGTTTGCCCTCAAGATTTGGAGACATTACCTTTATGGGGTCCGCTGTACTATATACACGGATCACAAGAGTTTGCGATATCTTATGGATCAGCCGAGTTTGAACATGAGACAGAGGAGATGGTTAGACGTGCTGAAGGACTATGACTGTGAGATCCTTTATCATCCAGGGAAGGCCAATGTGGTGGCCGACGCCCTGAGCCGCAAGGTGTCGACGGCCCCTATCAGAGATCTGTGTATGAGGATGACAGTGATCACTCCGTTGTTGGAGCGGATCAAGGAGGCTCAGATGGAGGGCCTCAAGGAGGAGAGGCAGAAGTGTGAGAGGATAGTGGGCCGAGTAGCTTCATTTGATTACGACAGTCGGGGTTTGTTGACGCTTCATGGTAGGATATGGGTACCGTACTGGGGTGGGGTACGGCAAGTATTGATGGACGAGGCTCATAAGTCTCGATTTTCTATCCACCCAGGAGCGACGAAGATGTATCGAGATCTTCGACCTGATTATTGGTGGCCCTGCATGAAGCGAGATGTCGCTTGGTATGTGGAGAGATGTTTGACCTGCCGGAAGGTCAAGGCGGAGCACCAGAGACCTCACGGCAAGATGCAGCCGTTAGACATTCCCGTGTGGAAATGGGAGGATATCACCATGGATTTTGTCACCAAGCTCCCTAGGACCGCACGTGGAGTGGACTCGATATGGGTAGTAGTGGATCGATTGAAAAAGAGTGCCCATTTTATTCCGATTCAGGAGAGTATATCGGCGGAGAAGTTAGCCGATATCTATGTGCGGGAGATTGTGGCACGTCATGGAGTGCCGGTATCGGTGGTGTCGGACCGAGATGTTCGTTTCACGTCCAGATTCTGGAAGCGGTTTTCTATTATGTTGGAATACATCACGTATGGTTTTATTATATGACACTCTGATTATGGTTTGATTATATCGAAAAACGAAATTTTTGGGTCGTTTCACTAATAAAGCTTGCAAGTTTAAGCCAAATGAGACCACAAAATGGCTAGATCTAAGGTGACAACCCATGAAATGCTCAACCCCATGAACAATCCGACAATAAGCCAAATATCCCAATAAAACTTTCAAGGAAGAGATCTAAGAAATAAAGAAAAAAGGTTTCAACTTTATACCTCAAAAGACTGCAACAAGAGAGGATTTTATGGATCTATAGCCCTCCTTTCAATCTAGATACCTCAAACTTCAAGCTCATTCAAAAGAACACTAAAAATCAACCCTTCAAGCTCACAGACTCAACTTTGAAAGAAGATGCATGAAATTAGGGTTTCTGGACAGAGGAGGTTGGTAAGGAGGCCAGCCAAGGGACTTAAGGCCTTTAAATATGATGCAATACCCTAAGAATTAGGGTTTCTTATTCAGCTGCCAACTCGTCGAGTTGGTCCATTAATATCCGCGACCAACATCACCTCAACACGCCGGATTGAGGCCTTCCAACTAGCCGAGTTGGACCAAGAAAATATGCTAAAAGAATCAAATTTCATACCTGAGGATTGGGATGTTACATTTAGGGTTGAGGTTAAATAGGTAAGTATAGACAAATAAACCAATCATTTGAAAAAAAAAAAAAAAACGTTGTTTTCACTTAGCTTATAAAAATTGGCTTATTTTTAGATAAAACTAATAATTGAGCCCGCATTTTGCTGTGAGTTTTTACGTGTTTTTGTTGCGTATTAGAAAAGTAGAAGAGTGAAAATCATATTATATATACATGCTATGGGGACTTGGGATAAACATGAAAGTTTAGAAAATAGGGTTAAAAGTGACATTTTATAAAGTTGAAAGTGGAATGACTGAAAGCGATATTTTAAAAAGTAGAGTGATAAAAAAAAATATCACTTTACAAAATAGATGAGTTGCAAGTGACAGATTATACAAAGTTGAGGGATTGAATTTGAAGTTTACGCATTAAGATAGCTGTACATTGTGCTTTAAGAATTTTAAAAAGTAAAGGAATGAAAAATATCATTTAAAAAAAAAAAGAAGTTTCAAGTAATGGATTATACAAAATTAAGGGATTAAACCTGAAGTCAACGCATTAAGATATTAGTACACTGTGCTCCAACAATTGTACTCTTAGCTAAGTGTTATTGTCTCACAATACAAAAGTTAGTTATATATATATATATATATATATATATATATATATATATATATATATATATATATATATATATATATATACCCCCTAATAAATGAAAATGTTATTATCACTTGTTTTTCTCTCATTTAATTGCCCACATGTCATTTTATCATATTTTTGAGATATATTAATTTTCCACTTATCATTTATTTCATTTTATCGAACATGCAACTATCTTGCAACGATATGGTGTGCCGACGTTCAACGACGGTGTCGTGGTGCATTGGCGTAGTGGTGACAATCCTTTGGTGGTCCAACGATGGAGTAGCAAATATTGCTGGTAAAGGAAGAAGCGATGGAGAACAAATCGCGATATTAGTGTTTAGATAAGATCACATTTTGTTTAACCTATTTTTTCGAATCAACATTTTTTTTTTCAGGAGACGTGTGTGAGTTTTGGAAGACATTGAACCATGTCTTTTTGGAGAGGAGGATGCATAGATGTTTTGTCGTTTGTGGTATTCTAAAAGTCAAACAATCTGCGAAGGAAACTTCGAAGGAAACTTTTGTCGGCCTGTAAACAAAAGTGGCCAAAAAGTGATTTTCCAATAAAAAAAAAGTAAATTACACGAATGGTCCCTATGGTTTGGGTAATTTGTACGTTTGGTCTCTAATTTATTTTTTTAACTCAGAATGTCCCTACTATTTGTTTTTGTTATGCGTTTGATCATTTTCTTACCTAAAATGACTATTATGTCCTTATTTTAATAAATTAAAATAATCTTTTTAGATAAGATAATGTGAGATGGGGGTGGGTTGGGTGCGTTTATTTAAATCAATGATAAAATAGTCTTTTTAGGTAAGTCAGGGACCAAGCGTGTAACAAAAAACAAACAAAAAAAACCTTCCGAGTTAAAAAAAAAAAAATTAAAGACTAAACATATAAATTATCCCAAACAATAGGGACCATTCGTGTAATTTACTCAAAAAAAAAAACAAACAAACAAAAAAAAACGGTCTCTCACTAGATGGTGGGGGTGTGTGCCCTCTGATAATTATGGATAGGTGGATCTTGTGGACAGACAAAGGTTAATGCCTTAACGGTGTTCAAAGTAAATGTTTTGATGCGATTGGAAACAACATTGTGTTTTTGTAGCGGTTAAAGCAAACCATATATATATATATATATATATATATATAAATAAATAAATAAATAAAAGACAATTTTTAACTTTTGGATTAGCAAAAGAATTAAAAATATGTAACTTTAGTTGGATTGGATGCCTGCATGACCGGTCTTTTGTTTCTATAACTTTGTTAATTTTTGTTAAATTCTTGCTAATTTTTTAAATATATTTTTGTCGATTCTAAAAAAAAGAACAATAAAATTAAGATAAAATTGAAAAAAAGCTCCCTGTGGTATGCGTTTTTGCGTTTTTTTTTTGTTTTAGTCCAAACCACGATTTTTTTGGATTGATGGTCCTTTTAAACTAGTTTCATTGCGTTTTTGGTCCCTCTGAATAGTAAAATGATTGTAATACCCTTGGGTTATTTATTTTTTATTTATTTTACATTTCTTTCGTTTTTTTAAATCTAAATACTTATTTAGTTATTTATTTAACTAGTTAAAAAATAAAACTCTCTCTCTCTCTCTACACCGTATACCCCCACCTTCTTCTCCTTTTTCTTTTTACCCAAGATGAACACTTCGTCTTCTTCGGCTCTTCCTTCTTAATCAAAATTCCACATCTACCCACTAAGCAGTTATATTCGATGCTAGTAATACCAACAAACCCGGATTTCACGAACTCAATTTGGGTTCCCTTGTTTCCCCCTTACGACCTGGACCAGTGGTAATCGACCCACCATCTTCTCCATGTGACGGCGGTATGTGGTGGCTATGTATGGTGGTTGTGGCGGCAGTGTGCAGCAGCGCTGCTATGGGGCTTCTACTAGTTCTTTTCTGCCTAATCTCGACGGGAAAGATGAGCGCGCGCGCGCGCGGGGGGGGGGGGGGGAGCCTGTTGGTGGTCGGTCTACACTTACGATAGCGAGGGTTGGTGTTGCTCGTCAATACAGAGAGAAAGACGAGGTGGCAACCGGTGTTTCTTGGCAGAGGTGATGGTAAATGGATGTTGGAGTGGAGGCAATATGTGGAAGGAAGCGGTGGTGTCGGGGTGTTTGATGGTGGTGGGTCACAACAGGAGGAGGCGGAGAGGCTGCCACAGACGGCTATGGTGGCCCTCTTCGTTGGTGGAGTGAGAACCAGAGAAAGGGAGTGAGTTTGGAGATGAAAAGGAGGTCGAGGGAAGAGATTCAGACGTCAATAGTTGTGGCGGTGGTTGGGATGTCGCAAAACAACAGGTAGTCGCCTTTTTCCGGCAACCCTTTATGGGTCTTGTTCTAGTTGATGGCAGCGACAAAACAAAGGGAAGAAGAGTAGCACTGAATCACAAATGTGTGAAGATGGGTGGTAGTTTTATACTTTTATGGTGTTGAGAGAGAGAGAGAGAGAGAGAGAGAGAGAGAGAGAGAGAGAGAGAGAGAGAGAGAGAGAGAGAGAGAGAGAGAGCTCTTGTTTTTTTATTTTTTAAATAAATTAATAATTATTAGATTTAAGAAAAATTAAAGTAAAATAGAAAATAAATACCACAAGGGTATTAAAGTCATTTTAGTTTACTGAGGGACCAAATCTACAACTAAACTAGTTCAAAAAGACCATTAATTCAAAAAAATCGAGGTTTGAACTAAAACCTTAAAAAAAATACATATCACAGAGACCATTTTTGTAGTTTTGTCTAAAATTAATCGGAATCAAAATAGACGATGGAAATCAAGGAAAGACATAAATGAAAAATGAAAAAGGTTACAACATTTTTAGGGTAACGAAAGTAACGTATGTGTTGATACCAATTTACTACATCCCTGGAAAATAGGATTTATACGTCAGACGGGAGAACTAAAGCATCAAGCACCAGTGGTCTAGTGGTAGAATAGTACCCTGCCACGGTACAGACCCGGGTTCGATTCCCGGCTGGTGCATTAGTTTTCGTATAACTGATTTAACGTGAAAGTGTTGTCATTTTATACATTAACGCGAGACATGTATGCGGCGAATCTATCTCACTTTTTGCTTTTTTCATTTGTTTACAAAAAATTCTATATATTAAAATTTTAACATAGTACGTGAATTACTTTATTTTTAAGTTATTAATAACATTTAAATAATTTCAAATTTATTAAATGTTATCATAACAATAATTTATACTAAAATTTTCAAAGTAACATCTCAGTAGGTTGTGGATATGTAATGCATTTCATCACAAGAAATTTAAGAGACACTCTAGTGTGAGACAGAAAGAAATATAGACACGAAAGTTATAGATGGTCAAATCGTGGATACCGGATATGTTTATTTTTGTTAGTGGATATGAATGATACTTTGAATTTTATTGAATTTAATTTTACTCATGATTATTCATTATTTGAAATTAATAATACTGATTCTGCAAAAATACCGATGAAGGTAGCAAAACTATTTTGGACTTTCAGCTAGCTAGTCATAGCAAGTAAATGTAAAAAGTGTCCATTCAACAGGGCTGGCAATTCTTGACACGACACGAAATAAATGGGTTTGGGTTGAGTTTTTCAATCCGTCAACCCGTTTATTAAACAGATCATATATGGGTTTCTCAAAAAATAAACGGGTTGACCCGCCAACCCGTTTATATTCTTAATAAAAAAATTATTATATTTTTAAATGTATTTATGTATCAAGTATTAAT